CCCTCCCGGCCCATGGCAAAAAAAGTTGCCGACCGCTGCTCAAACACATAAAAATGGCCAGTAGTAATGGTGGTGTTGAAAGAGCCAACCTAGTTATATGTTAAAATAAGGGTCACACTTTGTGTTAGAGCTCATGGGAGAAAAAAGTACTTTCTGGACTACAATTCCCAGAATCCTCTAGTTCGGGATTCTGGTTGTCCCAAAAGCAACTTTTCCAAGCTTAGGATGGATACAATATACATGGTCATTCATTTCCTGACACAATTATGGATTTCCTGATATTTAGGAAACCCTGTCAGGAGAAATAATAGAAGTGAGAACTTAGAGCAGTTTTTCCAATATTTGCACATCCTAAAGTGTTTGTGGAAATTATTTTGTGCAGAAACATATGTTTGTTTGCTTGTTCATTTGTTGAGCAAAATTTTTTTTTCACAAAAACACCATTTTTATACACAAACTGGAAACCATGTCTTATGTGAAAAATGTGATTTTGATCAAACTCCCTATTTTTGCATGGTTTCTACAGTATATCAACACATCGTAATTTGTCAAGGTACTTCAGGATTTGTAGATAGCAGGAAACAATAGCATGGAAATATTCATGTTCTCCACCAGCATGGAAAAGACTATATAATTCATTTGTCCTTACATATGAGCATGAAATGATCAAATATCGACTTCCTAATCCAGGCTTTGGCATAATATTAATCACGTTATTGGGCCAGCATGGCAGAGTGGTTTGAGCATTGGACTATGATTCTGAAGACCAGGGTTCGATTTCCAGCTCGGCCATGAAACCCACTGGGTGAACTCTGGCAAGTCACATGCTCTCAGCCTCGGGGGAAAGCGATGGCAATCTTCCTATGAACAAATCTCACCAAGAAAACCCCATGATAGGTTCACCTTAGGGTCAGAAACAACAACAACACTTTAACTGTCATTACTCTATCCTATAGAATCATGGAATTGGTAGTTTGGTGAGGCACCAGACCTGTTCAGAGGATATTTGCCATTGCCTTCCTCTAAGGCTGAGAGTGTGTGACTTGCCCAAAGTCATCCAGTGGGTTTCCATGGCTGAATTTGAACCCTGGTCTCCCTGAGTCCTAATCCAGCAAACATTACACTATGCTGGTTCATTGCAGGGAGCATTTACACTGAACAAAGGAGTTTATCAGATGCCCATATAAGCCAGTTTACCTTTGCCACGATGCCACCATCCAGGTCAGACTTGGGGTGAAGCTGCGTTCAGCCGGTACTTTTTTGAAGTCGGAAGTTTTTGACTTCTAAAATTTGGCGGCTGAACATGGCTTCAACCCGAGGCTGACCCGGGCTGTATTTGGCAGGCGACATCGTGGCTAAATCGGCGGCGATTTGCATATTATAACATTCAGGTGTATCCCGTAGGAAGATTGAAGCCAGCAAAGGTAAACTGGCTTATTTAGTGGAGCGATAAGCTCCTAAATTGTTTGCCCCCCAATCCTCTTAACTTTTACAAAATGCAGTCTTCTCCGCTTCATGTATTTCATGCATAAATTAACAGGGCAGTGCAAATATCAGGGCCATTTTTTTAATGAATAAAGCACTTGGCACTCATTCTTTTCATTCCTGCTGATGGAATAAATTGTACCAATTATGGCATTCTCCTGGTCTTGTTATTTTGACTTCTTGACTCGTTCCATACCCTCTGATATATAAATTAGCAGCCTTCCATACAAAGCACAACTGTATTTGTTCACAAGGAATGCTTTGAGTCGCTTTTGACATTTTCTTTTCCCCATTCCATTTCCTAATGGTTTCTGCCCAGAAGCAGATTTTTTTTTTTGAAAAATGACCTAACATACACTGTGTTTAATGAGTACATTTAAACATGCGTTAGCTACAAATCTTATCAGCTGATTACTTAACCTTTTGAGAATAAGTTAAATATTTTCCACAGTGTTTAAATAAGTATGATACTTTTCACATTAGGGTAGAGGGAGCTTTTCTTTTTTCATTTAAATCACTACATTGCACTTAATTATCTTTTCCCACTAGTGATCAAAGAAAGCAGTCACATAGCTGGAATGTTGCAAGATATATTAACTACTTTGTTATGAATTCTTCAGCAGTTTATCTGGTAGAACTGCATCCCTTCCAAAGTCATCAGAAATTACCAAAGCACTGAACTAATGTGTTACTTGTACAAGTTACTTTGGTAACGGTTTACTTCCTGCAGTAACAAGATGGAATGGTTATCATATCCAGTAGCTGTGTTGGCCATATAGCAAAGTACCATATCATACAAAATCCAGAAACAGTGATACCTTTATTGGGCCAACCAAAATGCACATTATGGATATTGCAAGCTTTTGAAGCTCCACTGGCTTCTTTATTAGACAAAGGTGTTAAAACTCATACAAGAGAAAGAAAGAAAGAAAGAAAGAAAGAAAGAAAGAAAGAAAGAAAGAACTGACGATGGGTCAAGATGTAGCAGTTGTTGTCCTCAGTTCAGTTGGTATGGAAGGGCTGGATGGCCATCTGTCAGGGATGCTTTGATTGGGAGTTCCTGCATGGCAGGGGATTGGACTGGATGGCCCTTGTGGTCTCTTCCAACTCTATGATTCTATGATTCTATAGTATTCATGCAGGTGGGGCCCTCCACCTTCTGGCCATGTGGATACTGGGAGATTCAGGGGCTTTGCAGACTGGCCTAAAGGGGCAGCCTGGGAGTGGAATTGGAGTGGGGCAACCACATGCCAGCCACCCCGACTCCATGCTGTGCCAAAAGGGTGCGAAAAAGCCACCGCCACAGCTGAAAGGATGGCCTTTTGCTGCTCTTTTGGGGGCGGCAAAAGGGAGGATGGGGCCACGGTGTGCAGTTGCCCTGGCCCCGATCTGCCACTCCCAGGGGCGGCTCTGTGCCACCTTTTTAGGCCGGTCTGCATCGGCCCTCAGTCCAGGAAATAAACTTTAAATTCCATTAGCAAGACAAAAAGCTACTGCCTTTGAGATCCAGTTTGTCTTGAAGTTGGAATGGTGTTACTTTTGGGCTGTAACTGTCAGGGTTGCAATTTGCTATTTTTTTTCTGTGTAATGTAATGATGTTACTCATTACTGGCTCTGTTTGGACTTGGTCTGAATAATCGGAGGAGGCAGGGGTGTCATTAGGGGAGTACGGGGCATGTGGACTGCACTGAGTGACACCTCAGATTGGGGGTGTCACCCAGTGCATTGGTGGGAAGGGTCTGGAGGGTCTGCTGGTTGGGTAGGAAAGCAGGTCTCCTTTTCTCACCCAGCCACCAGCTCTATCAGACCCAGAAAAGGCTGTTGAAAAGGCTGGGG